ACACAGAATCTTGTTCATCTTCACCTACATCATCACAGGTCTTCTGCGGTTTGGAGGTCCCCTGCTCTGAGCGCACAACAACTTCCTGATTTTCATAAATCTAAAAATAAATCCACAAAAATAAACAGATAAGAGGACGGTGTTACACAGAATTAATTTACATAGTATCATTAATAATTAAAAACTACATCAATGGAGCCTGAAAATGGTCTAATAATCAGTTCATTGATTATTTCTTTCTCCAGAACAAAACATATTTCCATTCTCAGATTGCTGTAAAATTTAGTTGTAAGCATTCACTAACTAAGGAAAATGATTACTAATAACTAATATTGGTCACTTCCAGACCTTTTATCAAGCACCACTGTCAGGCAGTGGCGGCTCCTGACAAATTTCTCAGGGGGGGCAACTGTTGTGATGAGCACTCTATGAGGTCACCCAGGTTCTCATAGACAGTACTCACAACCCTGCTGTTCTAGGCAGCCTTCGTGCAACAATCTGGTCGAGAAGGGCCGTGCGTTTGGGTGACCGGGTAAAAAAAATAGTTTTTAACCCTAACCCTAACCCGACCAAGTCAGAGAAAAAAACTCTCACAGCTGGGATGTGCGAAGTGGCCTGCTGCATGATTAAATTCAGCTGGTGTGCATAACAATGCAAATAATGGGCATTTTTGTACTCTTCGCGTACCTTTTGCTGCACACCAGCCCTCTCTCCCCTCATCACACTGGCACCGTCATAAGCTTGTGCAATGAGTTTACACTTGTCATCGTCAGTGAAAACGCTGTCCAGTCTCTCCAAAATTGCATCGGCAATGGAGCCGGCCGTTGTTGACAAGATGGGGACAAATTCAAAGAACCGTTCTTGCACAGCGTGTTTTCCGTCCATTTATCTCAGCACAAGCACCAACTGAGTCTGTGTAGACACGTCTGTGGTTTCATCTGCTTGGATTGCCACGAATCTAGCCGATTTAACCTCCTCCACGATACGTTCTCTGATGACAGATGCCATGCAATCCAGCAGCTCATTCTGCACCGTCTTTGACGTGCCCTTAAAGACTGTGGCCGTTCTCAGGTGCTCCTCAAACATTTCGCCAGTCGACCAGACCACGAAAAATCCCAGGGTTGCTGGACCCCTCGCAAAGCTAACCTAAACACACGCCACAGATTCTATGTCACATGGGTAAACGTAAGATTTTATTGTGTCTTTTTAGCTCCCAGTGTGTTTTTAATTTACAATATTTCTGATTTTAGTGTGTAGTTTTTATTTGTGTTTTTATTGCACACTGGGAGTGTATTGTGCTTTTATTCTGAAAAGCCCATACGGATGTGACTCCTCACGGAGTAATCGCCTGAACCTGTGAAGTGTCAAATTGGCGGACTAATAAGCTTCCAGAGGAAACAGGGCAGACGGATCAAGCGGAAAGGGCAGGAAGCCGAAGCAGGAACAGAGGGGACCGATCGCAGTAACCACGCCGGAGCTGTCACTGGACGGAGAAGCCAGGGACTGATTGTTAGAAGGCCCCATGAAGAAGCGGGCAGAGTGATACTCTGCCCTTCTGCGTGAGTAGTGATCTACGACTAAGCGTGACCCGCTGTATGTACGTGTGTTTAAAGTGCAGTGACTGCCGTCTTGCTCTCCTGATAGCTCGAGGTCAGTGCCCTGAGGAAGACGACGGTGCAGCGGCATCGAGAGGCTGCAGGACCGAGTACAGATTGTATCAACGCTTTCTACGGCGACGGAGCCACTTCCGCCGGCACCCCGAGTGTGTGCTGCAGCCCCTGCCTTTGCAGATAAGACTCTAGACTGTTTTATTCAATACTATCCAGCTGCAGCCCCGGAGCAGAAGCCCCTGACGTGACACACAAGCCTCTGGCTTGACGGAAGTGCCCCTGGCATGACGGAAGTGACGTAGCATTTACGTAGCATACCGGAAGTTCTTTAAATTAAAATTAAAACACTAACTTTCCATTATGATGCAAAGTAATAGTAAACTGACAAGAGCTAATTTCAACGTGCGGTCTTTAGGCTCACCATTACTTCAAACATCTTAAATTCTTTCCTGTGTTCCTGTAGTCTATGTACAGAGATGGATATTAATAGCCTACACGTTTTTCCTTTTATTACATAGATGTAACCAATAACAAAAAAGTGATGTTTCATTCGATCAGGTTTTAGCCTACTTTTTAAAAGATCCAGAGGATCATCAAGGGAACTGCCACATCAGAGAATCAAATGAAGGCAATTTTGTGCCTTTAAATAAATTACCCACAAACATTGACCAATCAGAAAATTGTAAGTCTAATTTCTCATGAAAATCCAGATTTATGGGCGAAAAAAAGTCACAAAAGCGGACCTCCGGTGCCCCCCATGTTATATCATTTCTAAAATAAAAAATGATCTCAATCAGTAAATAACGAAAAAGAACAATTTGTTTTGCGTCATACTAAAAACCCTCTTCTCACTCATTTGTCGGAATGTGTCATTTCTCACATTTTGGCACGGGGGGAGGTATTTTGGAGTGACAGCGAGTGTCCTCAAATTCCCGCGTATCCTCAAAAAAAAAACAAACGTAATTTTTCTGTTATTCTACGGTCACTTCTGTTCACGCCAGGGGTTGTATTTTAGGGCTTTGGTGTCACGTCAGGGGCTTCCGCTCCGGGGGCTTGCAGCTGGGATGCCTACTCGTTTATTAGACTCCCTCGACCCCTCAGTTTTTTAGCCTTCCCTCATTTTAACGCCCTTTACTATTTGTCTTACCATTTTTAAATCTTATTAAACCGTGTTTTTTAAACCTGCATTTTTATTCTGTAATAAACATACACGTTTCTGCTGCAAGGATCTGTGGTTTTCTTGGTTTTAGCAACTGCTCTCTCGCCTGATTTTAAACCATACAGTCATTTTTAATACACCTTTTATGAAAATAACAAACATACACCATAGCCCCTCCACATTTACAGTCAATAAGGCGGCCTAGGATATGCCGGTTCTTGCTCACCTCAATGTTGTGACGGCACACAGCTAACCTGTAGCTCTCATCCAACTGTGTTGCAATGTTTACTCTCCCAAAGGCCGAAAGTTTTAGGCAGCTGTCCATATGCATCTTCGATGCTTCATGATTCTTCACCTTTTCAGAGAGATGGTGCATATCAGTTACACTTGTCTTTGTCCAGGCGGTGTCCGTCTTGGCGCTGTCAGGGTGAATTAGGACACAGGGGTAGCAGAACAGAGCATTAGCCACTTCACACCCTGCCCATTTTTTTCGCTCGTACCAGCTTTGGGAAAATCGGCGATTGTAAGTTTTCCCGCTTTTGTTGACACCTGCTTGAAATTTAAATTTGGTCTGGGTGGTCCGAAGTTGCAGTTGCTAGCCATGATGATCTTGTCTACAGCCAGGAGACTGTTTGCTTACCTAAGCATAAATACTGGAAACTGGGAAGGCACCTATTATTACAAAAGCCCAATAGAGTACTGCAGGAATGAGCCCTAAATCCCAGAAACGAGTCAGAATTTTTACACTTCAAGTTCCACCTCAATGTCAATACTTTACAGAAAAGAGGATGATTTTGGTTAAAATACAGTAGGTACTTTATTTACATCAGTGAAGTTACAGACATACGTTGGTGACATATTGGTGTATTTTAAGAATAATGAACCGTCAGAACAATATCACTACAGGTCAGCTAGTCTAATTTGGTTAAACGAGATAGATATCACATGCTAATCAGTAAGCTTTAGAAGTATTAGTAGGCTGATTTTTTTTTAACCTTTGGACTTAACTCTCTCACTATGCAATATGCCAATCATTATGGTAAACAGTCTTCTTGTGTAAACTAACTCCTGGCAAATTAGCTTTTTTTCTAAGATCTAAGAAGTCTACTAACGTATTCCTTTAAGGCTGACCTCCCTCTACTTGATTGAAGCAGTTTATCCAAACAATCAAATATGCCTCTTAGGCTGAGGAGGTACAAAAATGTCCATGAATAAAGTTCTTAGAACATACACCATCTTATAACTAAAACTGCCCTCACAGGAATACTACAGTAATGGTACAAAAGTATACCAACTAAACCAACAAAGATGCTTCATACTAACTGAAGAAACAACAGTTGTAATTATGTACAAAATGAACAATAATTTTCCACGATAAATAAAGACTAGTGAGGTATCAGAAATCCTATATGGCCTTGCTTCAATGCACAGAAGAAAATGTCAAGGGTACTAAACCAAAAGTAAAACTAAACTAAAAGCTAAACTGCATTTCCCAGCTGACCTTTGGAAGCCTGAGTGATGTGCACTGACAACACTGGGCGTATCTCTGTGTCTGATGTGGGTTCATGAGGTGAAACTACATCTCGGGGGCTGATAAGAAGGGTGGTCCTGACAGCCATGTCGTGTTTGTTAGGAGTGCAGCTGGTACCGACCTTGACCCATGGTCCGCTGGGTTTTGCTCGGATGGAACATATCTCCATTGGTCTGGAGATGTTGGCTGCTGCTGATCCGTTAGATCCGATTGCTTAAATACACATAGAACATCCTCGTCTCGTTATGTATGTGGCCCAGTTAGCAGGGTGTTGTGTGTGGACAGTGCTCTGGGCTCTGCTGCCTTTGCTTTTGCTTGTGCCACAGCTAAAGCCATGCTTACTTTTGTGCTACAGGATGAATGTGATGAACGTGAGCATACAAATCAAATCTCTAAATCTACTAATGATGTACTAGGGCTTCAACTACTAGCCGTCTTCAGGCTAATTTTATTCCTCCATATTTGGTTCTGAGTAGAGATGCTTCTATTATGTCCTTTTACAAGCTGTAAAAGCTTAAGTCCAGTGTAGTAAGCACTGAAACCATTCTTCTCTGCTCAGAAGGGATGGGAAGATATCCTTTCAAATTTCAAATTTGCCCAGAAAGACTCTTGGACCAAGGAGGCTGTGTTGTTTTTGAGTTTACTGAGAGACATCACTTGACTATGAAACTGAAACACGATACAATACTAATACTGTCTTATAACTGAAACAGCCCACCCTAACCCTAACCCCATATTGCTGACATAAATTAGAAAATAGTAATGAGTTTGAAGATTGTGGTGTTGCAGAAGTTATAGATAATTACAAAGAATTACATAATAATCAAGTGTATTGCGCATTGACCCGGGTATTGCACCTTAATCGACTTATTGCAATCTACATCTGGGACATACTGATGGTATATCATGCTAACTGAAGAAACAGCAGTTGTAATAACGTACAAAATGAACAATAATTACTTTCCACAACGACAATGGATGCATAAAGACCAGTGAGGTATCAGAAAACGTACGGAAATGGCCAAGTTGCCAGTAACCAAGTAAATTAGTTGTACCAGTTAAGGAAAAAAGTATAAATACTAATCTAAATAACTACTTTAGTGAGACTAAGAAAATATCTAGT